CCACCACACAGAAAGCAGCTTGGTATTTCTGTTTGTGCTGGTGGCTGTAGGTCAATGGAGCGGCCAAACATGGCTGTACTCATGTCAAGACAGTAGGAGATGATGATCAAGAAAATCTGACTCATATGAAAGGCAGAAAAGCTTATGAGAAGTTCAGTATGGCTGACCCAGGGAAGGAATGAGTTGCTGTAAAGGACAATTTAGTCCAACAACGTGTACTGATTCTAGGCGAGTGCTAATGGAAAAATGAGTGCCATGCTGCAGGGCCATGTTTATCAGCATTACTACAGAGCAGAATATTCCTACATTTCTAATTAGATAATACCGTTCTTCATTTTCATTTGTTTGTCTTTGGGGGTTCAATAGCCCTGACTCTGGAGGCAGCAGTTTAGGGGGCAAAGCAACACAGCTTTGTGAAGTCTCCTAATAGCATGGATGTACCACAACTTATTCAATCACCGCCCTCCTGATAGACAGTTGTTTCTTATTAGGAGTGCTTCAAAAAGCACTCGGATGATTAATTCTATGGGAAAATCCCAAAGTTTAGAAGATTTGGTCAAAGTGACTTTCCAAAAGAGTTGTAGCAGTGCATGCTCCCAGTAGCTGAGGATGTGCCTTTTACCACCACACTCTCCCAATATTGGATGTAATGAATTGTTTGAATTTTTGCCAATCCAAGAGAGGAAAATTCATTTTTGGTTGTATGGTAGTGAGATTGAGGATTTTTTTGTTTATTGTCCTTTCTCATTTCTTCTTCTGTGAATTATTTGTTCATTTCTTTTGTCCATTTTTATTACTTTATGAAAAAATAAAATTATAAAATTTTTTACATGAGTTGTTAACCTTGTATCATATGTATTATAAATATTTTCTCACAGTGTCTCATTTATCTTTTGATGTTTTATGGTGAATCTTTCCAAAAAATTACTTTAAACTTTAACATAGTCACATATATTTGGAGGGGAGGAAAAATTTTTTCTCTACTCTCTTATGTTTAGTATGAAAGTCCTGCAAATTAAACTGATCAAAGGCAGATTAATAGAAAAAAAGGCATAAAAATTTTCGTTTTAATTTTACATGCACAGGGGGGCCACAGAAAAGAGGTGAAAACCCAAAGAAGTAGTTAGGCTTGAGAACTCATATACCATTCTAACAAAGAGCAATAAATTGTGAACTGGCTAGACAAAGGAAGAGGTTTGGGCTTCTAGGAGCAGTAAATTGTGGGATGGTAAATATACGGGAGAAACCAATGGTAGATAAGTGGAGAAACCAATGGTAGATGTGTTACTTAGTAAAGCTTTCTTATGCAGACTCATCTCCGTGCCATCTCCATCTCCAGTGATATGGGGTGTTTTCTTCCTCCTGATACAAGAGAGAAAAAGGGGACACCTTCACAAAGGTAAATTTATGCCCTGCTCTTAGTTAGATAGGGAGAGGGCAGAGAGTTCTTCCTGTGTCTGCTTTTCCTCAACTGCCTTCAGCTCAAAATAATCTTTATGCCAAAGTGGCATATTTTGGGGTGGCATATTTATCTTTTATTTCATGGCTTTAAATTTCCTTCCTTCTTTAAGAAGTCTCTTCTAACCTAAAGTTTTCTAATTTTTCTCCCAATACATTTTTGCTACCTTTTTTATATTTCAATCTATGATCTTTCTAAAATTTATTTTGGTATATGGTGCAAGGTAGAGGCCTAACTTTGAATCTTCCGTATAGATAGCCAGTTATTGCTATTTCTTGTTAATTTATGAATGAAAACATCCTTTTCCCACTAACTGAAATGCTACCTTTGTAATTAATATTCCATGTATGGTTGATTTTTTCTGGATTCTCTATTTGTCTTTTTATGCTAATAATTTTTTCTTTCACTACTACTCTTTGATCATAGTAGCTTTGTTGCAAGTTGTACTACTTAGTAAGACAAATTGTCTCTGCTAATCTTCTTTTTCTAAAATGTCTTAACAATTCTTATATATTCATCTTCCATTTATAAATATTGAAATCACCTATGTTCTCCAATTACATCTTTTAAAATATCAGAACCTATACTTTTCTATAAAATTTATTTCTAAGCATTTTATTGTTATTGTCATTCATGTCAGTTGTGATAAGAAACTTTCAAAGTAGGTTCCAGGAGCTTTTCTGCTAAATCACTTTGTATTGGCTCTTGTGTGTGAGCTGATGACCATTGGCCCCACAAGTGTTTTTGTTTTGTTTTCTACTGCACATGGTGTGAGTAGGAGGAGGAAAGCAGGTAAGAGAGAAGTAATTTGATTCAAATTTTCTATAGATTCAGTTCTCAGCTAGTTCAGATAACCGTGGGGTTATCAGAAACTAAGTAAAATTCTTTGTCTATTTTTCTTCCATTTTTGCAGCTTTTATTAAGTGGAATACTCATATCAGTATATTTCACTTGACTAAAAAAATTTGTTAGCTATCAGAATGTCCAGTCTGATGGCTTGATTAGATTTAAATATGTCGTATAATGAATATTTTCTTTAGAAATTTCTTAAATCTCTATGTGCTCAGGCTCCTTAATTTAGTCAGTGGGTATTTATTGCAGATCTTCTTTGTTCACGAAATGCTGTCACATTACTTGAATACTGATTTGTATTCAAATTCACCTATACTCACTCTTGGAAAAAAACAGGAATAACAGTTTAAATAGTGCAAATAACCTGATATTCCGCTCAATAAACACCAGCCCTAGACAATTTTTGCAATTAAGCCTGGCTAGTCCTGTGGGAAAAAATATGTTAATGACTTTAAGGGGCTCTCCACTGCTGATGAGAAATTAATTGCATTGGTCTGGCTGATGGGGGATGATAACTTTATCAACATTTTGAAGGAAAAAAATTGAAGAATTCATTAAGGATCCTAAAGAAGGACTGCCTAAGGAAAACTCAGAGGACGAACATTAAAAAAAAAAAAAGTATAAAAAATTATATATATATGTAGTGTTTTACGATTGTTTTGGGGGCTTTCAAGGGCAATTTGAGTATATTTAACTTTTGCTTGCAGATTAACTTGAGAATTTAATTCCTGTGAAGGATGAAACTTAATGGTCGAAAGGTGACAAGAATTATGAAAGACGTAGGAAAATATGTGACAACAGTTTCTGCCTTTAAGGAACATGAAAGAACAATACATTTAATGGGGTCATATTAGAAATGGGGGACACTAAATAATACAACACATCATGAATGACAAAATATGCCGTCAAACCATTACCCTATAATTGTTGAATGAATCAATAAATGAATGAAGGGACACAAACTATTCAAACATTATACATGTAACATTTATTAAACCTGATTCTGTATCTAGAATATACTCAATTTCTAACAATCTTCTTTTGAGGCCGGCCCTGTGGCTTGGTGGTT